CTAGTTGATAGATGATAAAATAATAATGTTTGGTAAAATTATAATGTTTGGTAAAACTAACTAATAAGTTAGATGGATAATGTAAAATGACATAAAATATATATAGACATAATTAAAAAATTAAAAAAATAATGTTATATTTTATGAAACGTTATTAAAATAAATCACAAACTTCAACATATTGAACTAATTAATTACATAGAGTTTTCCAATCGTTTTTAGTTTTAAAAAACACTTCTTGCATTTCATATCATCTCCGCAATGTTTTTACAAGTTCTTTGTTTCTTATAATTTGACTTTTGAGTATTAACATGAGTAAATCTTGATTCTTCTTCTAATTTTTAGTATATAAGTTGACAAATTTGTTCAAAAATATTGAAATTCACATATTTTGAGTCATTCATTCATATATAATCATGAAAAGAAATAATTCCAATCACATTTCTTTGTGTCTCATGGCTAAAACTTGTTTTTTTGTTCAATATTTTCCACCTCTTCTTTAATACTCAAAACGAACGATCGATGCAACTTCGAAGAGATAAATGTACACGATTAAAAGCACATTGAACATTAGTTGGGAAAACATGCAAAAATTGTGATCAATGATATCTAATACGTGAGTATGGTACTAGATATTCTTTGTAGTCGAGATATCCTTTGTCTACAATGTAATATTTTCCTATAAAACAGAGAATACAATGATCTTATTTGTCTACCATGAAATATATGTTTGTATTCTATTATATATTTTGTTTCCATTACAATTACGCCTATAGACTTGAATACAATGGTTTTGAGTTTGTTGTTAAAATTCATTGTGTTATTATTATCTAATAACTATAAAAAGAAATAGAAAACCTCAAATCAAATATCAACCAAATAATATGTCATGTACAAAATATTTTCTCAAACACAATAATTACTTAAAAACTTAAATGGAGTAAATAAAATACATAAATTCACAAAACAAGTCCCACCCATTTTACTTGCAAAACATTTATAAAATAAAAAAAGAAATTTACCTCTGGTAACCCGGAGCTGGATATCCCGGTGGAGGATATCCAGCAGGCGGGTATCCGCCAGCTTGTGGTGGTGGTGCTGGCGGATACCCATAGGGTTGTTGGCCATATCCGACATTAGGCGGATATGGCTGATCAATCCTTGACATATTCTGCATTGGTGGGACCGCCATTGGTTGTGGTCCAAATTTTCCATCTCTTTTGTCCATTTCAACCTTGTGTTGCGTCTAAAAAAAATAAACGAAAATTAAATAAAAAAATATTATTTTTCTTTTTCAAAATTTGTAGCAAATTACAAATTTTGCTTACCTGCATGCACGCGCAAACCCTGAAAAAAGGTGAATTATAATAAATATGTTAGAATATATTTATTTTTTTGTAATGTTAAATAATAAAATGTATAAAGAAAAAATAGCTTACGTGCAATAAACCAAATCAGCTAAGCAATTGAGCAACTGAGAAGCTTCACTGAGTTCTTCACTTCCAACAAGACAAGCAACAATGGAGAATATGCATGCAAGTTGTTGGAGACAAAACATGAAACCCTAGATTATGATCAGAAAACAAAAATTCAATCAACTGTTTGTTTGATTATGATGGAATGGAATCGGAAAGGAATGGAATGGAATGGAATGGAATCAGAAAATGAGTTGTTCAGATATGGTGTTTGTTGTTTACTAGATGAAATGAAACTGATGAATAAAGAATAAAGGAGTTTGATGAAGAGATTACAATGATGCAATTATCGCATTTAGTTGTTTGTATGTTGAACTCATCTTGCAGAAGAAACCGAGTAGATGCCACTGAGTTCCCAAAGCACAAAAACACCTGAGAATTGCAGAAAAAAACAAGATGATTATATATAATCTGTTCCCATAATCCCATTACATTATAAGAGATTTTAAGAACAGGCATACCTCAGTGCAAAGACATAACTCAGGGCATTTACTTTCTCCACATCTTCCACTACATGGCATATATCCAGCACAGCATGTATATCTTGACATATCATTATACAGAGCTCGCTTACGAAGCAAGTATGATACACATGGACCACTGTCATTTATGTAAACATTTACAGGAAATGTGAAATTAGTGGAAAAGAATATGAAGGATGATATTTTTCAAGGACAGAAGTAATTGCAAGTGAGAAAAAGAAAACTATAAGACTATAATCATCACAGGTTGAACTCATAATTCACAACTTATACCACAATTAACAAGATCTAATGAATATAGAATTTATCATCTGATCAAGGATGAGAAGTTTGCAGACAATTGTTATGACTGGTGAAAGATGTGCCATGTTTTAATGATGCTCTTCAGTTATCCTGTTAGCCTGATATTGTAAAATTTTAGGAGTTTTCTTGCATGATCGTTATAGATTAGGGATCAGTAACACATAAACATACCTAATCAAATTAAAAAGCCTAGTATTGAAAAAGTTGATTCAAATAATCAAACATAGAGCAGTAAAAAATAGCGAGAGAACATGAATTTTGAAAAAGGCATAATATGCTACGGATATAGTACATTGTAGATCAAGTTCGAAAAGTCAAAACTATCGAAATTAGATAAGCACAAACTTCAAATCCACATAACGGATCGAAGATCTAGAAAATAAATTGAACGCAAGGTCTCTTACCAGAATAACGAAAAGCAGCAGTCTTTATCAACACGCATAGGAAGAAGAACAGCAAACGAATTAGAATCGAGTAACAGAACTAGATAAAATAAGTTGATTTTGAGGATAAAGTTAAGATTTGATTACAAGGAGTATCAGCAGTGATGGTGTTCATGAGATTGGTGTGCCATAGATTGCGGTAGTTCTGACGGAGCTGCATCTTGTCCAAATGCTCTTGAGACGCCGCCATTTTCGATCTGGATACAGGAGATCGAGCTTCGAATCAAAGAAGAATGTGATGGAATTGAAGATGCCCTGGAGTATACCAGGGGTTGACCCTTCAGAAGTGGACTTCTCGAGGAAGCATCGCCAGAAATTGGTCATCATATATTACCTTAAACCCCCTGTAGTTTTATACGATTTGTAATCGGTTCTTGTATATTTAGATTTTTTAGTTGTAGTTGGTTCTTATATATATATATATATATATAATATATATATATTATATATATATATATATATATATATATATATATATATATAATATATATATATATATATATATATATAATAAAGCAACCAATATAATTAAAAGAAAACTAGCAAGGCGCTAGAAATACAGACCATTAAGACTAGTTAGGATTTTGAAGCCACATACTTCAATTAATCCTAGCCTTGGAGTTACGGGACGAAAACTAACGAAACGAAATATCAACAATGGAATCAAAATTCCTATCCTTTCTAGGCTTATTACTACTAAGTACTAAACAAAATATCGTTACGGAACGGCCAAAGCACCCAAATGACCACAGAAAAAACTGTGTCAACAATCGCCCGTTGTTGCCTAACATTCGGCCTCGCATCGATCCAGTCCATCATGTCTCTCATAGAGAAAAAAATAGTGATATCCAGATCAAGCCAAAGACTAACCCGCTTCCAAATCTGATTTGCAATGGTGCACTGAATAAACAAGTGCAACACGTCTTCAGTAGCATCGTGACACAAAGGGCACAAAACCGAGTCAAGATTCACCCCTCTCTCCACCAACTTCGACCTCGCATGAAGCCTATCCATCATTAAACGCCAAATAAAAACATTTATTTTAATAGGAACTGAACAATTCCATCTAGTAGGCATGGAACCCGATGGAAGTCCCGAATCATCGATCCAATTCCTAGTCGATTTAACCGAAAAGCACCATGAAATATCAAGATTCCAAACCCATTTGTCTAACTCCATGCCAAGATGATAGCCATCCAACAAAGACATCAAAGTCTTAAGTTGCTCCTGTTCAACCCCTCCTCTAATGTCACGACGCCAAGCAAAAACCCAACCCGTCAGAGACCAATAATCACTAACTAAAGAGTTTTGATTAGAAGCAAGCGCAAACAATCTTCCGAATTGCACCATCATAGGAACATCCAAGCACCAAACATCGTGCCAAACCGAATAGTAGCTCCATTCTCAGTCACTCTAGCCATGGCATTCGAGGGCAGTAAACCACTCTCATGAAGATGGTTAATAGACCCAACTATTTTTTGCCAAACACCACCTCCACTTTGTATTCTCGAGCCCCCACAAAACCTCCCCCTTCACCATTTAAAAAAAAATCAAAATATTCACCCATAAGGCGCCAGGCTCATTAAAGAATCTCCATTTCCATTTGTATATAAAAGACTCAGGTTAAAAGCATATAAACTACCAATACCCAGACCACCCTGGTCAAAAGAATTTAATGCCAAATTCCACTTAACCCAATGAATACATTTTTGACCCTCTTCCATTCCCCAAAAAAAACGAGCCCTCATATTCTCCAAAGCCTGCAAGACAACAATAGGAGGCCTAAAAATAGATAAGTAATAAATACCAAGGCTACCCAGAACTGACTTAACAAGAGTTAAACGATCTCTAAATAGACAACAATCTAGCTTTCCAAGATCCCAATCTTTTTTTGAAACGATCTATAATTATTTGCCAACCTTTAACACGTTGGTTCTTATATATTTAGACATCTTTATATCGAAAAAACATTATGAGTCAGTGATGTCAGGTGTTGTCTTCTTTTATTGAGGTTCAGTGATGAAGTATCTATGACATCCCTAAAATCACGGCCGGAAAAGACCGGTTTAATTTATGGTTTTAAAATAATTTCATAGTAATCCTTTGATTAAAAGAATTGCGGAATTTGTTCCCAAAACGAAATATGACAAAATAAGATTTACCAAAGCATTTCTTAAAGAAATGTATTTTCATTATATAACAAAACTCGGGATGTCATGTTCCGATAAACAGACCAAAAGCATAAACATTACATTATAGACCTTACAACAGTTATATAAAACAACTGGTCCATAATCCAAAAATAACTTGACAAGTCATCCAACTTATGATCTAGCGCCACTACCTATAATACAAAGAAAACTAAGTGGGTCAGGCTTGGGAGCCTGGTGATCATATAGGGTTTCCAACCCACGATAAATAATTATTTTTAATTCCATCAACCAACAAAAACCCAATTACCCATTCTCGTTATCCTCACTTTACGTCTCTAAAACATCTAACACAATGGACCTAGTCTAAGAATATTTCATCGGGGCGACAACACATGCATTCAGGGGTTTCCCAACAATATATGTCAAATAAGGCAACCATCATGTAACACCCATAAAATTCAAGCCAAATTAAAACTTTTTAATATATTTTAAAACCATCAAGTTATTATAGTTTGTTTTCAAAATAGTTTAGGCATTAGAGTATCCCCATAATCCATTCATAAAACCATAAATTATGAGGAGCTGTACGATCACGCCTTTGCTTTCCTGCGATCATCTGATGTACCTGAAACAATAAACTGAAACTGTAAGGCCGAGAGCATAGTGAGTTACCCCCAAAAATACCAACCTCAATAACCATAATCATATCATATCAACAAATACAGAACAACATGTATACTGGGCCTTTGGCATAATGTGACATCCCCATTTTCACGGCCAGAAAAGACCGAATTTGTTTATGCTTTTTAAAAATCAGAGTTCTTTAAATAAAAATGTTGCGGAATTTGTTCCCAGAAAAACACGATAAATACGTTATTAAAACATTTTCGAAGAAATGTATTTTATTCATTTCAAAACGTTTGGGATGTCATTGTTAATATAGATACATAAGCATAAACAAAACTTACGTTTATTTACACTAGTGATCTACATCTCTGTAAATCTCTCAGTGTACAGTGACTTCGTATCAACACCTGTGATATAAATAAACTGAGTGGGTCAGGTTGGGAAACCTGGTGAGTACATAGGGTTTTCAACCCACAATAATATAATTAATATGTTTAAACAATCAAGCAATTAAACCCAATTACCCATCCCCATTATCTTCTTTACTCTTAAGGATCTACCCTAAGAATCAACTATTTCTCGTTCATTCATTCCTAAGGATTATCCTAAGGAATCGACACAAAGTCCATCATAGCCACGGTTTACACAACAGGCACTAAGTCTGCATAGTCGCCAGGGTTTAGGCATCAAGTCTGCATGATCACCAAGGTTTAGGCATCAAGTCTGCATGATCACCAAGGTTTAGGCATCAAGTCTGCATGATCACCAAGGTTTAGGCATCAAGTCTGCATGATCACCAGGGTTTAGAGTACACCGGGTGAACACGTCGTTCACAACACCTACAGGTTGCGAGCCTGCTAGTGTTCCACTGGACTATCTAGGATAGTCCGTGGTTGTCATCCATACTCTGCTGAATGACGGGGACATCATTTGGGAAAAAGGCTTCTCACATCGTACACCTCTCACCCACACCTCATAGTCTATATCACCTCTCAACTCATCATCCAACTCATATTTCATCTATTATATCTACCCATGTTTTACCCCAACATTTTCGTAGATATAAAATACATATATAGTTTAAATCATTTAAAACATGTATAAAATCTTTCACCCAGCATAGACAGCAAGTATTCAGACAATATGCACACACCGCACGTAATTTATATTAAAATACTTCATATCTATGTGTAAGATGAAAGGGACTATGCACTCACCTGATAGGTGGTGACTCAACACTCGGACAGCGCTTCGATACTCTCAAAACAATTTCCTTCGATAAAACCTAGTATCAACACCACTAGGGTTTAGTCTAACGATAACCGCGACTAATTAATAGTATAGCTATTATTATTATTATATAAGCGTTAAATAACACTCAATATAACTCATAATAATAGCCCAAACAATTATTTTAAGGTCCTAATAATGTTACTATAATTAATTAGAAGCTATATTAAAACTAGCGTAGGCGTAGCTCACTTACAGCGGGTTTTTCGCAAAACCGGGCTTCGCTAGAGCAGCGTTTCCTGAGCCGAAAGGCTCTTTTCTCGGAGCCGTCGGGCGCTCCGGGGCTTCCGCCTCGTGCTAGGGAGTTACACTAGGCTTTGGGGGGTTTGGGAGGCTTAGAGAGAGAGTTTAGAGAGAGAAAGAAGGTTTGGGAGGTGTGAGAATGAATGGAACCCGACACCTCTATTTATAGTGGAAAAACCTGATGGACTCGCCGAGTCTGAGTCATGACTCGCCGAGTTGGTGCATGTGGCAACCTTCTGGTGGTGCCACGTGTCCAATTCTGGTGGTGCCACGTCACCCCTATCGCGTATCAGCCTTCAAACTTAGAAAAATCATAACTTTCGCATACGAGCTCCGTTTTCGACGTTCTTTATATCCACGCGTAGGTAAAATCAAGATCTACAACTTTCGTTTAGACTCCGTTGGCTAATTCTCGACCGATCTCAAATTTAACAGTAGGAGGCGTTTAGACTGTTAAATGACCGCGAAGAATTCATAACTCCTTCATACGGACTCCGTTTTCGTCTGTCTTTTTACCGTTGAGTTCCTATTAATGAGATCTTCAACTCTCATTTAGGTCGCGTAAGCCAAAAACACTCGAACTAAAATTCGAGTTTCGGGTCGTGCACTGCTAAGCCGAATCTTAGAAAAATCATAACTTCCTCATACGAAGTCAGATTTGGGCGTTCTTTTTATTAACGCTCTTAATTTAACATATTCTACGACTTTAATTTAGATTGCTAAGGATAAATCTCGCTCTATCGTAAATTCACTATTTACGCTTCCCGGTGCCGTGCCGGTTTTGCCGTAAAACTTCGACGGGCCATAACTTCTTCGTTATAACTCGGATTTCGGCGTTCTTTATATGTACGGAAACCTTGTGACATATTCTACAACTTGGTTAAGATTATTTATTCTAAATAATCTTTTGTCGAAAAGTCATTTTCGACCCCTATTGCCTCTAAATTGACTAGCCCGGATCTGCGGGCGTTACAATTATCTCCGCCTTAGGATCATTACGTCCCGGAATCATCAATGAAACAGGGCTCGTATAATGACTTCATACGTCATCTCTTCA